GGCTACTGATCTTGAGAGATGGTAACAAGAAATCCAGAGGCTTGACTTGGCTTCCTCTACTATGCCTCTGCTCCAAAATTCCTTACATCCTTTTCTTCTTTCTTTTAAATATAACAGCTTTATTGAGACATGATTCACATGCCATATAATTCATAGTTGTGAAACCATCACCTCAAGGAACCCTGGAACAATTTCATCACACCAAAAGAACCCCCACCAGGCAGAGATCAGGAGGATCAGGTTCGAAGTTAGCCCAGGCAAAAAAAGTTCATGAGACTCTATCTCGAAAAACCCTTCATAAAAATGGGGCTGGTGGAGTGGCTCAAGGTGAAGGCCCTGAGTTCAAGCCCCAGTACCGCAAAAAAAAAAAATAAATAAATAACCCCTACTGGTCCCTCTCTGTTTCTCCCCAACCATCCCAGCTGTAGGCAACCACTTATCTGTCTCTGTAGATTTGCCTATTTGGATGTTCCATAACATCCAGATAGGTAACATATGGTCTTTTGTGATTGGCTTCTTCTACTTAGCATAATGTTTTCAAAGTTAATGTAGCAGGCATTAGCACTTCATTCCTTTTTGTTGCCAAATAGTACATTGTACAAATATAAAATGTAATATCCATACAGTTGAGGGATATTTGGGTTATTTCCACCTTTGGACTATATGAATAATAGTTCTAAAAACTCCATGTACAGGTTTTTGTGTAGTCATATTTTCTTTTCTCATGGTACAATCTAAGAGTGGAATTGTTGGGTCACATGATAACTCCATGTTTAACATTTGGGAGAAATGCTAAACTGCTTTTCAAAGCAGCTCCTCCATTTTACGTTTCCATCAGTGATGTATGAAGGTTCTAATTTCTCCACACTTTTACCAGCTGCTTTATTGCTATCTTTTATTTTAACCCTTTTTAGTGGGTATGAAGTAGCACTATTTCCTTGTGGTTTTGGTTTGCATTTCTCTAATGTCTAAGTCATATTGAGCATCTTTTCCTGCTCTAGTTGGCTATTTGTATATCTTATTTGGAGAAAATCTATTCAAATCATTAACCGATCTTCAATTGAATTGTTTGTCTTTTATTGAGCTATAAGAGATCTTTATATGTTCCAGATACAATATATTTTATATATTATGGTACTTACCACATATATGACTTGACAACGTATTGAGTGTACACCTCAGTAGTGTTAAGTATATTCAGGTTGTTGTATAACTATCACCACCATTCATCTCCGGGGTTCTTCTCATTTTCCCAAACTGAAACTGTGTACCATTAAACACTAATTCCCCAATTACTTCGCCACCTTGCTTCTGGCAACCACCATTCGATTTCTGTCTCTATGAATTTGACTACTTCTTGACTACTCTGGATAGCCAGATTCCATCTAAATAGAATCATGCAGTCATTTCCCTTAGTATAGTATCTTCAAGGTTTATCCATGTTGAAGCATTGGTCAGAAAGTCCTTTCATTTTAAGGCTGAATTGATATTCCATTTAATGAAAATACTACATTTTAATAACACTGGTATGTAAATATCTGTTCATGTCTTTTCTGTTCTTTTTAATAGATACTCAGAATTGGGATTGCTAGATCATGTGGTCATTCTGTTTTCAAATACATAAGAAATTGCCATACTGTTTTCTATAGCAACTGCACTATTTACCTCACCAATACTTAGTACTTTCTGGATTTGTTTTTGTTATTGTTTATAATTGCTGTTCTAATGGGTCTAAAGGTTTTATTTCTTTATACTTTCATGATGGTAATGTTTACAACACAAAAAGGCTTTAACTTCGATGAAGTCCAATTTGTTAAACCTTTGCTACTTGTGCTTTAGGCAGAGGTAGGAGGAGTGTGGTCCAAGGCCAGCAAAAGCACGAGACCCTAACTAAAGAAACTAAAATCAAAAGGGCTGGTGGAGTGACTCAAGTGGCAGAGCACCTGCCTAGCAAGTGTGAGATCTTTATCTTGCCTAATTCTAGTCAAAAGATTTATTCCTGTATTTTCTTCTAAGGGTTTTATAATTACAGATATTACATTTAGGTCTATAATACATTTTTAATCTATTTTTATTTTTGGTATAAAAAAGGTACTCAACTTGTGTTTTTTGCATTTGAATAACCCAGTATTCTAGTGCCATTTGCTGAAAAGACTATTTTCTCCTGAATTGTCTTGGCACCATTGTCAAAAATTAATGGCCATAAATGTGGTTTTATTTCTAGACTCTCAATTGTATTACATGGTTCAAACATCTTTCTTTATGCCAGTGGCACACTGACTTGATTACTGTATCTTTGTAGAAAGTTTCAAATTGGTAATACTGAACTAGGGATATAGCTTAGTGGTAGAGCACTTGCCTAGCAGCATGAGACAAAAACAAATACATGAATTTATTTAAATGGGAAGATTAACTCCTTCACCTTTATGCTTTTTGTTCAAAAGATTTTTTTTTTTTTTGGCTATTCTGTGTCTTTTGCATTTCCATGTGAATTTTAGAATCAGTTTTTGAATTTCTGTCAAGAAGGCAGGTGACATTTTTATAAGGATTAAGTTGAATCTGTAGATCAATTTGGGAAACACTGCCGTCTTAACAATATTAAGTCTTCCAATCCATGAACACTGGATGTCTTTCCATTTATGTAGGTCTTCTCTAACTTGTTTCTACAACATATTACAGTTTTTAAGAGTACAAGTTTTCACTTCTTTTGTGAAATTTGCTCCTAAGTATGGTATTCTTTTTGATGCTATTATGAAAGAATTGTTTTTCTTAATTTCATTTTCAGTTTGTTCATTGCTAGTATGTGATTTTTGTATATTGCTCTTGTACCCTGCAACTGAACTTACTCATTCTAACAACTTTTCCATGGATTCCTTAAAGATTTTTGTGTACAAGATTATGTCATCTATGAATAGAGGCAATTTTACTTCTTCCTTTCCAATCTGGATGTCCCATCCTTTTTTCTTACCTAATTGTCCTTGCTAGAACCTCTAATACAGTTTTAAAGAGAAGTGTCAAGAGTGGGCATCTCTGCCTTACTTCTGATTATAAAAGGAGATAATTCAGTCATTCGCCATCAAGTATAACGTTAGCTGTGGCTTTTGCAGATGCCCCTTATCAGGGTAAGGAACTTCCATCTATTCCTAGTTTGAGTGTTTGGGTTTTTTTTTTTGAGTCATGAATGGGTATTGGATTTTTTTTTCAAATGCTCTTTCTTTATATTAAGATGATCATTTTTTGATCTTTATTCTATGGCTATATTGCATTGATTTTCTTATGTTAAACCAAGCTTGCATTTCTGGGATAAATCTCATTTAAACATTATAGATAGCCTGTATATAACCTTTTTAAAGTATTGCTTGGGTTCAGCTTATTGGTATTTTATTAGAGATTTTAATTTCTGTATGCGTAAAGAAATATGTCTACGGTTTACCAGGGCGGGGGGAGGGGATTGTGTGTGTTTTTCCTTTTGATTCTTTTAGCTGGTTTTGCTATCAGTATAATATTGGCTTCATGGAATGAATAGGAAAGTGTTTCCTCTAAGTGTTTGGTAGAAGTTATCAATGAAGTCATAAGGGCCTGGAGAGTATGTGTATGTATTTGGGGGTAGTTTTTAATTATTAAGTCAATTAATTTACCTCTTGCATTGTTTCTTAATTTGTAGAGCTTGTAAGCTGCTTGTAGATACACACTTCTGTGAAAGGAGAGGGGGAATCTAGGGAGAATGGGCCAGCAGAAATCAGGAAATTTAGGGGTTCTTACTGGCTTTCCCTGGACCCGTGCCTTCCCCTCTCCCCTTTACTCTCCCAGGTCTCTTGGAAGAGCAGTCATCTCCCTCCTGAATGAATGCTGTTGAGGTTAGGACAGTCACCTGAACCTGTGTCTTAGATGGCGAAAGATGATTATGTAACATTATCTGACAGAGGAAGGAATTAGTGTTCAGACCAAGACAAGTGACAGCAGAAGCTTTCAGACTTCCCTGGGAGCTTTTAGGCTGTGTGTGTTTGTGTGTGTGTGTGTGTGTGTGTAGTGTTCTGCCTTGATTTAAATATTGATACTTAAAAAAAAAGTAAGATCCCAGCTGTTGAGATTCCCAAATCATAAATGAACTGTGATACAGCCATTTAATGAAGGAGGTAGCTCTCTGTATGCTGAGGTAAAGTGAGCTCTGAGATAAATAACTGATAGAATACTTGATTTGAAGAAAAAATGGAAGGGAATCCATGGACACACATGGGCTGGTCAATATAGCGTACCTTGGGTACCCAAGATAAGAGTTGGTGTGAGAAGACACTTAATACTGCATGGGGTTTTTCCCTTACATTTATCCTGCCTTAAAAAAGTGTTTAGAGTGATGGGCCTGTGTGAAGCACAGTAGTGAGACTGAGGTGGCTGTGTCCTCATGAAAACAGCTGCCCTTCCAGCCTATATACTCTGCTGAGGTGTGTGAGGCATTATCCAGACCTCCATTTACTCAAAGCCTCCAGTGTTCCTCAGAAAATCTGCCTGCTTTTGAGAAACTGTTGGCAGATCTCTAAGGCCCCCAAGGTTGGATATTCCCTTCCAAGCTGCTTCAGCAACAGAGAAATCCCCATCTGTGTTGTTAGGAAGAGGCCTTGCACTGACCCCCAGCTTCCCTGCACATTGGCTAAGTGGCCCCACGGGAAGACCTTTTTGTCTCTCTTGGCAGACACCATTATGGCTGCCACCTCCCTGTCTGGTGAGGGTGCTGAGGAAGGCAAGTCTTTGGCCTTCTTGGGCCAAGGGAGCATCCACACTAGCAGCCTGTTCTTTGCACTGAAGGCCAACGGAATGGGTGAGCAGGGAACACTTGGTATTTTGGAAATATCCATAACTCTTTGCTTTCATTGAAAGTGAATGCTTCTCCCCACTCACAAGGGCTACCTCAGAAGGGTAGCCACCCAGCCTGGGCTTTTGAGGTCCCAGGGCAGATTCCAGGCCTTAATCCAAATACTGAGGATCCTTCTCTCTCTTCACAGAGAACACTTTCTGCAGTGGGGACCACGTGTCTTGGCACAGCCCTCTGGATAACAGTGAGTCAAGAATTCAGCACATGCTTCTGACAGAGGACCCACAGATGCAGCCTGTGCAGACACCCTTTGGGGTAGTTACCTTCCTCCAGGTGAGACAGTTGGACATTTTGGACTTTGTTGCCTTCCCTGTGAGGAAAATCCAGAAGGACTGAGGACTGTGGGGAGGAGAGTGAGGGAAGCAGGGGATCCCGTTGATCTTCTCTTCCTTCTAATGGTCTGTCAGATAGAATTAGATTGTCCAGTTTCACCTGGTGAGATGGCAGAAGGGAGAGGGACTTCTCAGCAGAAAGCCAACTCTTACTTTCCCACAAGGGGTGTGAATCTCCCCAAAATGCCCCCAGTGCTTGCTTCTGATTATGATGCAGTCTCAGTTGGTCTCTGATTATGGTGAAGGCTCAGTTAGTTTCCTAAGATTTACACAGCTGTAGGAACATCTCTCTGACCTTCCCCTGCTTCCAGAGACATGGCCTGAGGACCCATTCTGAGTTGGTTCAGGCCCTTGTTTTCTCCTCTGCAGCTAAGAACTAGACTTTGTGTCACTTGACACCTGACTTGACTTTACAGGGGCAAGGGTTAGACTCAGTGCCTATCTGTGGATGCAGGCATCTCCTAGGCAGGCAGCTGTTTCCTTCTAAGAGACCCATCCCATTTTGGACACACCAGAAGCACAGATCCTGTCTGTGGACCCCACTTAAGGTGACCCCAGAGAGCCTGGGAAGCTGACCTTCTGGAAGGGATGACCATTAACACACAATGGCATCTTGTCCTGGATCTCAGATTGTTGGTGTTTGCACTGAGGAGCTACACTCAGCCCAACAGTGGAACGGGCAGGGCATCCTGGAGCTGCTGCGGACGGTGCCCGTGTGAGTACATGTTCCTATGAGGTAGGGTCCTGGCAACCTGGGTCTGGAGGTAAGGGTCCCTCTGTCACCCTACATGTGGGGTACTTGCATTGCCTTCTCAGGCAGTCACTTCCTGATGGTCCCTGACCAGGACCATTCCCCTATATTCTGGACCTGGGATAGCACACAGGGAATGCTGTTGGCCTAGACCATAGCGCCAGACCCTCAGTTACCATTGTATCCCCTTTCCTTATCCACAGTGCTGGCGGCCCCTGGCTGATAACTGACATGCGGAGGGGAGAGACCATATTTGAGATCGATCCACACCTGCAAGTATGTCTTGAGTGAGGAAAACCTTGCTAGCACACTGTGCCTAGGCCTCTTCCAAATAACACTGGCTTTCATCCTGGGAAAATGGAGGATTTTTATGTGTGAGTGAGTAGAAATACAGCATGATTTGGAACTTGTCCCCTGAATTCTGCAGCCCACATAAGAGAGTAGAGATTTCAGTCCAGGAGAGTGTGTCTCAGGCACATGTATTCATATGTTTAAAGAGAATGAATTTTATTTATGTAAACTATATATCAACTCAAAACAATTAGATCACCACCAACAGGAAAATAATTGTAGTAGATATTGCTTCCTTGCCCAGGATTTATTCTTCCACGTCTCCTTCTTAAAAGAACACAGACCTTCTTATAGGAAGCTACCTAGGGCCACCCCCACTCTGTGATAGACAACAGGCAATACTGACCTCACGACCCAGCTTCAGAGTGAGTGCTGATTGGTCTGATGATCCCTGTCACTCTGCCCAATACATTTTCTGCCCTCGCCTGTGTGGTTGGCACTCCTTGATGTGTGCAGGGGTCTTTAGACACACAGACCTGCTACTGCCCCTAACTGTAGCCTGCCTGGACAGAGTATCAGTGTCACCTTTGGTTGTCAAAGTGTTCCTTTGGCATACAGGTGAATTTTGAAGCCCTCAAGAAGACTAGGGATGTGGCTCAAGAGGTATGACACTTGTCTAGCAAGTGTGAGGCCCCAAGTTCAAACCCCAGTACTGGGGGGACAAATCCACATGAAAGCTGCAAGAGTGTTGATGGCTTTTCTGTTGCCTGCTCAGGAGCAGGAGCAGCAGGCTCCTCCTTGTGTCTGGTTCCTTCTACCCACCTCACTACCAATGACAACTCACAACTCACTGCCATCTTTGAACCCTTCATCTGTGAACCCTTCTATAAAGCTCTGGCAGGCCACAGGCAGCTGCCAGGAGTTTGTGTCTTAGAGCAGAGAAGAGATAACAGATGAACATGTAGTCCACAGACCCTGGGTTCTTTATAGCAGACCTGTGAGTTCTTGAGCATAAATCTACTTCATTCGCAGATGATGCTCCTCTGTTTTCCTGGTGCCTTTAGCACTGAAATGTTCAAATTTCTGCCAGGATCTCTACTTTAAACTTGCTTTCCACATAGCTTCTGCTTACGCAAGAACCAGGAGCCGCAAAGGGTTTCCCTAACCTTTGTTCTGCAGCCATATTGGGAGCCAGATAGGACCCTGTTGCCTGTTGTTTGGTCGCTGTCATAAGTAACCAAGTACTCAGAAAAAAAAAAAAAAAAACCTGGTCCCTAGAACTGATAGAGTTAGCAAATTATCAACTGTCTATGTGCTGAGAACTTGTCTCACGTCTGCAGGCTCCCTGAGACCACACAGCAGAACCCACAGTACCCAGTGGTTTTTTTAAAGCAAGCAAGGAGCCTATTCTTTCCTGGTGGCCTATGCACTAAGTGAAAAACCTCTATGTTTGTATGTGTGTGTTTTGCTGGGCCTATTTTTTGCCTGAGTTGGCTTACATTCTTTTTTTTTTTTTGGTGATACTGGGGTTTGAACTCAGGGCCTTGCACCAGCTAGGCAGGCGTTCTACGGCTTGAGCCACTCTGCCAGCCCTCTCACATTCCTTTGACCTAAGTTCTACTTCTAACCAGCTGTGTGCATAAACAAGTCCCTTCACTTCTCTGGGTCTTAACTCTTTTTTCTTCTAAAGTAAGTAGACTAGGACTGAGAGTGTAGCTAAAGTGGTAGAGCGCTTGCCTAGAAAGTATGAGGTCCTGAATTCAATCCCCATTACTGCCACTCAAACCAAAAAAAAAAGGAAGGAAAGGAGGAGGGAGGGAGACTGGAACTGGATATTGGAACTAACAGGTGACTGTCCTCAGTTCTTTGCTTGGGGTGAGGGCCTTGGGGCAGCCAGTGGAGAAGGAGAAACTAAGGCTCTCCTGAGCAAAACCAGAGCCATATGCTCGCTGTTCCCTGCCTTAGAGCACTGGAAAGAGCTGCTGCCCTGCTGCCAACCTTACCCTGCTAGAATCTCCAGCTTCACCCAAGTTGGTGGTAGCACCAGAAGAATGATTGATTGGAAGGAGGCCTGCTGTGACTGGTCCCAAAACTTAAGGACAATACCCTGTCTGGGAGCTCCTGATAGGCTCTCTGTCTGACCAGTCGCCAGTTTGGTGCCTTAGGGAACCCAAGAGAGAACTGGCAGATAGGGAATTGCAGACTCTGTTGAGGTACTTAGTCAAAGTGGGTTTACTTGGCCCACATGGCTGTTTATGGGCAAAGTTGCTAGAGTCTTCCAGATGACCTTTGATCCAAAGCCCAGCATCACAGAACTGTTTTACCAGAGAATCTAGGGATGTTTTGAGTACAACTCTTCCTTGAGGCCTTTTGGAGAGCATTTGAATTCAACAGTGCCAAGATCTGCACAAAAGCAGTAGGGGGGAAGTCTGCAGATGGTCATTGTCCTCCAGACCCCCATTTCAGACTAAGAAAAAAGAATCCAGAACCCTTTGCCAAATGAGTTAGCTGGCAGCTAGGGGACCAGCAGCCCTTCTGCTCTGAGGTAACCACTCCCTCTAGCTGTTAGAAGGGGGAACTGCAGGTGTGAATTCTCCCCCACACCCCTACACCAGGGCAAGCCTCCACCCTGCCTCTTCTAGCAGCCACTGGGATGGGGAGATCTTGCTCAAGGTTGAGGGAGGAGAGGAAGGACTGTGCCTTTACTCAGAGAACTAGGTTCTGACTTTGATACATCAATTCTGAGGATCAACCCAGGTAGGGCAAAGTCCAGGCTCCAAAACAGGCACCACCATTCTGCTGGAAGGTTGATGGTAGAGAAGCTTCCCTGGCATTTCATTCTTCTTGGCTTCCCATAATCCCTGGTTGCCCAGAGGAATCCAGTGGCTGGCAGAGCCCATCTTGCATGTAACCAGAACAGAACAAGGTCAAAGATCCTGCTCTTGCAGCAGCTGTCTGTGCTTGGCACCTACAAGGTGCATACTATAAGGGTGATGGCTGGGAGGGTGGTGACCACCTTGGGCCACCGGTTCTCTGAAGGAACTCTGGCTCTTGGTTCTTTTCAAGCAGGAGAGAGTTGACAAAGGCATCGAGACAGACGGCTCCAACCTGAGTGGTGTCAGTGCCAAGTGTGCCTGGGACGACTTGAGCCGGCCTCCTGAGGATGATGATGACAGCCGGAGCATCTGCATCGGCACACAGCCCCGGCGGCTCTCTGGCAAAGGTAGCCTTTACCCGGCCTTCTCAACTTTCCTTTCAGGCTGGTTTTCAGGTTCTCTAGGATAGGTCGCTAACTAAAAATCCCATTCAGTGGTTTATTTCCTGGCCTAACTTAAACAGCAAGTGAAGTCTTCCAGCAGGGGGAAATTAAAGGAGCTTTATTGGTCCCTTTCTAGCTTTTTCCTGTGTATATTTTAAATACACCACCAGCAGGGATCATTGTGTCTTCACTTTGCTCCTTGCAATTTGAGGTCACAAAGGTGAGTGGAAGCCATAGAACAGTTACAGGAAACGTTCATAGTACACCCAGGCACAAGAGAACAACTGTTGGCCACCCACAGAATTGACACAGGGCCCAGCTCTTGGTGTGAAGGCCATACCAAACCTGAGGATCTCTGTCCATAGGCCTTCCCAGGCCTTTAACAAGAGAGGGCTGAGTATAAGGCCAACTCATAAATAGCCCCATACCACTGTCCTACAGATACAGTTTTAGAGGCTGTGGCAGGGAACCCTACACCCACTGCCTTGTGGGTGAGGTCTTAGGGAAGGAGGAGGTGGCTGTCCTTTTGGAAGCGTTTTATGCTGGTGTTGGCTACAGAAACAGTTGTGGTTTTTAGCAAAGAGCGTCCCTAGCTAGCACCAAAGGAAAAGCAGCCATTTACATACACATGTGTTGGCAGCTTTTGTGACTATTTCCTTTTTCAATTCTTCCATCTTTTCTTGTTTACTGAAAAATAAGATGCCTGAATAAAAACCTAAGTATTTGAATTTGTGTGTTTGTGCACACATGTGCCTGGAATGGAACGCAGGGCCTTGTGCATGCTCAGCATGCCCTTTCCCACTTAGCTACACCTCCCACTCCCATTTCTGTATATGAGAGAAAAGGGCAACTTAAACTCTTAGTGCAAATATTTGACACTTTCCTTTCCTTATGGCATGTTAAACTATAGGATATGCAGAGAGATAGTGTACAGTCATTAGAATTATTAGAATTATTTGGTTGCTTTTGTCAAAAGAGGTTAATTTAAGAAGGGATCCCTAGTCTTAGCCACAATTTTAATTGACTTTTTTTTTTTAATTACAAAGGTAATCCATGCCACTGTAACAAGTCAAACAGTTAGAAAAGTTAATCATCTCCTCCCCTCTCTAAACCTAGTCTTTTTTCTTTTTTTTTTCAGTACTTGGGTTTGAACTTAGGGCCTACATTTTGAGCCACTCCACCAGCCCTAATCCTAGTCTTTAAACAGTTAATGTTAATTTCCTTTCTTGTATGTATTTATATGTACAGAGGTAAATCTTAGATCAAAATCTCATTATAGGGGACAAAACTAGAGCACCTTCAAAAAAATAATCCCACCAAAGGATTGCTTTCTCACCCACGGAAACAAAGTTTCCTGGGGTAGGCCAAGATGGGAAGATGTCCTCAGTGTCCTGATGACCAGAACTCAAGGGGAAAGGGCAGCAGAGCTAGACACTACTTGACTACTCAGAACCCAACAACAGGTGTAAAAGGCACCTGTGTGTTCATGGCAGGACACTTATAACCCTTACCAGTGGGCAGAATCCCTTGTGGTCTGGGCAGTGGCAAAGGCCTTGTCTGTCAGTAACTGTCTGGCTCTCTGAAGCAAGAAGGGAAAGGACAATGGAGAGCTTCCTTCTGAAGTCCAGAGACCACCTCTTGTCTTCTATAAGATTGGTGCTCCTCAAACCCAAAGCCTCATCTACTCTTGTGTCCTCATAGTCTGTATTCACTCAGCTCACATTTCTGGTGCCCAGAGTGGACTCAGATTTGTTTTGTTTTTGCCATACTGAGGATTGAACTCAGGGCCTTGTGCTTGCTAGGCAGCAGACTGGCCTCAGGACCAGCTGGCATAGCAGCCTGTCCCTAGCACATGTGCTGAGCTAGGTTCCAAGAACAAGCTGGTGGTTGCTGGGAGCCCAAAGGGCCATCCAGCAATTTTGTGATGTCATTGCAGACACAGAGCAGATCCGGGAGACCCTGAGGCGAGGACTCGAGATCAACAGCAAACCCGTCCTTCCCCCGATCAACCCTCAGCGGCAAAATGGCCTCACCCACGACCGTGCCCCGTAAGTTCCCCAGTGTTACAGAACTGGGACAAGAGGTTGTTTTTTTCTTTTTCCTGATGGGCTGTCCCTGTGGATCACACAAGAGAGAACAATCCCCATAGCCCTTGCTAGATGGACCCACGGTCCCTGAGTTCAAGGGCAGTCATGGTCTGGGGCAACACAGACTTGTGGGTATAGGAAAGGTCCTCAAAGGGGACACAGCAGACCAAGAGTATAAACAGCAGTAAATATTTATATGGGTTGTATGAACAGACCGGAGGCCAGGTTGGGGCAAAATCTGACTGGGGGCCTCCCAGCTTGTGGGAGCCCCAGCCTTGTAGGAGTCCATTGTGCTGAGCTCAGTTCCCTCCTTATCTTGGCCTCAGCCAGAGTTGCCCTTCCTTCCTTCCTGGAGCCTGGTCTCCGGCTGATAGCTACAACCCCAGGGACCTCCCTGTCTGGCCAGCCCCATAGTGGACGCCTGCTGCTGGGGCCTTTCTTCCTGCCTGCCTTCCCTGGGGCTCACGAAGGGAAGGGAAGTCCTTTATAGAACTTTGCTGCCTATCCACGGGTCTGCATAGCCCTTGGGAGAGACTATGGCCACCCCAGAGATCAGATCTGCTTCCTGTTGACCTCTGTTCCTCTAATAGGAAACAAATGGTGGGCAGAGCTACAGCGGGTACCCCGTCTGCTCTGCCCTAAGTTTCAGGGTAGCTGTAGGGAATAGCTTCTGGCAAAGGATGCTTGGGAGCTGGCAGCTTAAAGCAGGAATCTTGCCTGCCAGGGAGGAAATTGCTGTGCCTTGGGTGAATAATCTTGCAAGACTAATCCTGCAAGACTAGGGTGATCCACCCATCTTCTAAGAAGTCTTTATTACACACTTGCTGTGTGGCAAGCTCAGGCCCAAGTGGCCATCTGGAGTGCACAGGGTCTTTCCTTGGAAATGGAATGGAAGAATGAACTGCTAATGGCATGAGTCTGGCTGTAGATGCAGTTTGTTGGAAATGACCACTGCTTTGGAGTCTAGCTCCAGTTGTTGATCCATGGTCCCCAGAAACAGCAGAGATGCAGTAAATGACAATTAAACATAGTTAGAGCATTTTAGAGAAGGAGAAGCATGGGATGTGTCCTAGAATTATAATGAGCATGGAAAGCTGCTGAAGGGACTGGGAGAACGGAAGGTCCGGCTGGTTAAGTTTAAGGCTGAACATTGTGGAGCAGGGAGAAAATTACTGTGTGCCCACAGCTGGCTAGTATGGTTCACCTAGTGAATCTGCCATCTAGAAGTCAGGAGAATTAAGCTCTTTGACAAGATTGTAGAAAGGCCAAAACTGCGACATCAGAGCAGCTTTCAGCTGCAGTCAGTAGGTTTCTCCTGCCAGCTGCTCTGAAGTAGCTGGCTTGAAGCACCAGGATCTTCTTCTGGCAATAGCAGATAGCCAAGCTGGTCACGGGGCATCTGGAAGCTCTCCATTTGTAGTCTGGACCCTTTCCTGGGATCATACTTCTTCCCAGGCCCTCAGCTTGGCTTCTTCCTCTGGGCTTCCTTGGCGCTGGTGGGAGGCCAGAGGTATTAGTGGGCTTGAAATCTTGAGCAGATTGCCTATAATGTCACTGTCCAGGTGGCCTTCCTGCCTCTGGAAGGCCAGGGTTTCTGGCAGAGGACAGGGGGTCCTGTGGATATGTTTCCACTGTCCCTCTTATATATCTGGGACAGGCCTGGGATCTCACTCCCTGTCTTCCTACTTCCATCTGTGTGCTCCCTGATACTTTAAGGGGTCACAGGCTCTGGTTTCCTATAGATATCCCCTGACTGGGCAGTAGGATAGTGGGCCTGGACATGAGGCAGAGAGGTTGTAGCATCCACCCTTTGGCCTCAGTTGGCTAAGATGGAGAGATGGATGGGAATAGATGTCAGTCCTCTGGGATCATCTCCCTTCCCCTGCAGTTCAAGTGCCCGGTCAGGCCCCCAAAGTGCAACAGTCTGCCATCTGGAGGGACCATATGTTTCCCTGAGGTCTTCATTGCTGGTTACCAATTTGTTAACTGGTTGAGCAATAATTCCTCCTTCTCCTCTGCCAAAATCATTCTCCAGCACACCCTTGTCTCAGACTCTAGCTGCCTGTTACCTCAGGATCAATGATGGCTGACTCAGTTCAGATTAGCAAGCACAGTTGTAATAACTGTGCTGCCCATTCTGGGACCTGACCCCGTTTCAGATATACCATAAGGATTGTGATGGAGAAAGCCGACCCAAAATGTGCTGGCACCAGTGTTTGCTCTGTCCCTGTGGGAAGCAGCCAGCACAGCATGGACCTTATTTTGTCCAATTTCCCCTTAGTCAGGATTTCTGGGCCAGGCAGCTCTGATGCATGGGTCTTCATGGGTCATATATGGTCTGAGGACACTATAGCGATTGATCCAAGGGTCAGAATGTCTGATCAGGCCCGAGCATCAACAGCTGGGTTCTGACCTACTTGGGGAGTTGGGAACTTGCTCATTTCACACTTCCATAGCAGCCAACACTTCCAGAGAGCTTATTCTGTGCCAGATAATGTTTCAGGGACTTTATACCCACAGTTTTATTCATCCTCATAGCCACCCTAGGAAGTGGATAGTCTTACATATCTGCCTTTTACAGATGAGAAAACTGAGGTTTAGGGAAGGTAATAAGTAACCTGTCCAAGGTTAGAAAGGGGTAGAGCTTAGGGCAATCCATCAGCAGTTAAAATGGGTGTGATCTTCCTTGCCCCATTCTCAGATACCCCATGAGGAACATACAGACTGAGTGTGAGATAATAATGACCCTTGCTGATAGAACTCACATAACTAGTTGTAACATGAATAGGAACCTCTTATATGACACTGAGGACAAAGCTAAGCCCTCTGGTAGGAGCTTACTGTGTTTATTTAACTCTCAGGAGAACCTGCCCTGGTGATTTCAAATCCCAAAAATAATGAGCTGTCATAACTGGTTAATTTGTACCAGAATTATTTTTTGATACAGGGCCTTGTTTTCTTCATATTCAGAAACAAACATAAACCTATCTCTGGCCCCTCCACCACCTCAGGGCTAGGGGATTTCTTTCTTTCTGGAGGCCCTATTTCCTGGTTCCCAGAAAAGCAGGCCTCTTTGTGTAACCTGCTCTTCTTCTACTAACTGTTGCCAGCCCTCCTCCCACTGCCTTCCCAGAAGGAGAGTCCTTGGCCCTCTTTGGGGCTTCTTCAGCATTTCACAACCCTTGCATTCCAGCCATGAAATTTGTATCTGGCTTTTCCCAAGATGATCAGTTGAGAAAAGCCTCCTGCGGCTTGCTGGCGCCTCCCTTCCCACTGCCTACTCGGGTGAGTTTGGGAAGCAACCCCTTTGTGCCACTTAAGGACAGCCCGGCCTAGAGCTGTGCCTTCCAACATCTGTAGGGTACAGGGGTGGGGAGTCACAGTGCATCCTTTCTGTCTGAGGTGCCTGGTCAGCCAAAGTCTGGCCTTAGGTCTCCAGCCTCTTTATGGTGATGGTAATGGTGCCGGTGATGGGGAGAGTGTGTGTGGTCAAGTGCATGCGTGGGGAGGTTTGCACTTTTATAAATTGGGAACCAATTCTTATGCTGGGAAACCTGTATTAGTATTCCAGAATCTCCAAGTGAGGACCCTTGGCCAGTGACTTATTGACTGAGGTGAGGAGACCTTTAAGGAGTTGTCTGGGTCTTGCACCCTCCCAGAGAGGGGCAAGCCTCCTACATGTATGCACACATGTGTTAGAAGAGGAAGACTCCTGATCATGGGAGTAGCATTTTGTAATTGAAGTACCTCTAAAAAATAAATTCACCATTGTTACTGAGCCAAGTTTCTTGGTCTTCTGGAATTTTACCAGCAGCTTGTAAGGCTGTTTCTGCTTTCTTTCCTTTTCTTCTTTCTTTTTTATTTTGCCTTAATTTTCTGGAGAATCAAAGTGTCGTAGCATGAATTCTCCTGTTGTGACATCTTCATCTTCCACACCTCTCTCAACACACACACACCCATCTCTCTCTACTTTTATTTATGAGTATCTCTGCTTCCATCTCTGGCCTTTTGGATGGGGTGACTTTGCTGCCTCTAATTCCCATCTTGAATAACATGTAGCCTGACCAGGGAGTCATCCTTTCGAGAAAATTGTGTTTTGTTTTGCTCAGCCTATGAGACCCATGAAGATTAATTAGAAGAAGAAAATATTTCATTTGCATCCACCCTACTAGTGAATTTGGGTGAAGGAAGGTGAGTTTCTATCTGGGAACACAACTGGGCTGTTGTGGTGCCATTCGCAACAAGTGCATGTTGGATGACCCTGCTCTCATGGCCTCTCATGTCAGTGGAACCTGCTCTGTTGTGTTGGCTTCCCTTAGCACTCCCACACTGGGAAAGTACAGTTGTTTGAACTAGAAAGAAAGCCCAGAAACAAGCAACCCTGTTCTCAGGGCCCCACCTAAGGCTTTGCAGAGCTGATGGGAAAACAGACCCAAACCTCTCTTCTCCCTGCTTCCTGGACCAACATTCCTTTTTACCTCCCTCATTGTGGCCTAAGTGCCTTTACTGCCTTTCTCAGAGGTACACATTCAGAAGGGCAGAACAAAGAGATCCAGCAAATCTGGCATGGGTCATTTTCTGTTTTAACTCCATTCTTTGCTCCACTTCCCCAAAGAGATGAAGCCAAGCCATGGCTATTGTTAATACCCAACCTTCAGGGTTCCTGATTGGTGCTTTGAACTCTCAGTGCAAGCACTGCATCCCCCTCCCTCAAGCTGCACAATTAGAAGTATTTTTATCACCCATCCTTGATCCTCAGTGTCACCCAACACTTCAGCAGTGAGTCACTTCTGCAGGGAAGGGAAAAGGAAGGCTCAAAGGTAAGAGCTGAAAAAAGGAAATGACTCAGTCTCTCAGAAAAAGGAAAGCCAGGGGCTCTGGCTAGAGCATGCTCACTCAGGAAAGACGGGGTCCTAGTCTCCTACCCAGCCAGGCTGAGGTGGAGGTTCCAGTGCTCAGAG